ATATATATATATTTGGCAAAATAACGTGTATAAATCTATATGTACAGCTAATAGGCGTACGTGCAAAATCACATTTTAAGCTATTCTGACTATTTGTGGTTAATTTTAATATTAGTTAAAGTAATTTCACAATAAAAACTCATTTGAACTGTTAAAAATCCTATTCTTTTTCTAACTTCTTTCTGGTTAAAAGTAAAGGTGTCTTATTCAAATTTTATATCTCAGTATTTTGCTCAAGTTAATGGTTAAAATGAAACACCAAATTTAGAACACATTTTTTTATATCACAGTCAAAACTAGCAAAGAAACTAATACTAATAAATGTAAAAAAGATCATTTGAGTTATTGAAAGTTACTACAATAATACAAATAAAAGTCTTACTTGCTAGCATGATACGAACATTAGACTTTGTAATTTACTATATAGTGCAGATGCCTGAAACTTCGAAAGGACTTTTAATTTACTTAATATGCAAATACACCATTTAGCTTCAACAATAGGGTCAAACAAATTTAGCTATCCAAACGTCTTATAACCCGAAAACGACAAAATCTCAGATACGCCCACTACTCTTAGCACGACAATACAAGTGACTAAGAATTTAATAACTCATTTTCGATAGGAAACATGTGCACTTGTGCTCATTGTTATACCTTCAAAATTAAAAAATTCTAAGAAATAAAAGAATTAATACCTTAAGTAGTCTTTTGTTTCTGGCTATATTCTTTTGTTTGTAGAGACTTTGATAAAGACCAGGTTTTCTTGTTGCACGTCGCTAAAATGCGCAGTCGTATGATTATTATCTTATGATTTGAGGCTATATTAATTTATTTAAATTATACTTTAGTTATACTTGAACTTAGAAAACCCAAATTTGGTACACGGTGAGAGCATTAATCGACAGTAAGTAGAGTTCAATTGAAGCATTTTAAAGAGTTACCATTAAAATGTGAATTTTTAACCCGTCGCGTTGGCGGACTTATTACTTTGCCGTTTTCAACAAACACGAATAACTAATAATACGTATTGTAGCTGTGTTATTTAAAATAATCGAAAATTAGAATAAAATGCTTGAGAGAAAACGGTGATCATTTTGAACAATATCTATAAATTATACACAGGGCAACAATTTTCACACCCAAAAGCCAGACCTCACTTGCCCGAAGATTTTTGGTATGCAGAATCCGAATCCAGCGTCAGAATTGCTCCTATGCTATTACTTCGGCTTTTTGAAGAACTTTTTTTAATTTTAGTACCACTATTATGAAAATGCTAAAGTACCCAACTTCATTCAATGATATCTCCGCGAATAAAAAAGATTTTTCAAATCTGAAAAAAAGCTTTTTGAAGGGTAAGAGTGGGGTAGTTTTAGAGGGCATGATTCGTTTTTAGAAAAAAACTAATTTTTTGCTCTGTGATATACCTAAGCTCAAACATAGCAAACAACCCTCTTTTTTGCAGTTTTAGGTTAGGATATCTCGGAAACATGTCGTATAGGAGCAATTCTGACGCCGGATTCGGACCAAAAACCTTTGGGCAAGTGAGGTCTGGTTTTTGGGTATGATCTTTCGTCAAATTTTGTTGCCCTGTGATTATTATCGGAGCAAATTGTATGTTATTTATGTTGTTTAAGTTGTTTGTTTGTCTATTAAATTATTCTTATTCCAACTTTTTTTCCTGATCTTCAAGTTTTTTAAAAACTAACAAGAGGAAAGTTTTAGAATTAAATTCCTCGTAAAACAAAGTAATAAGTCCGCCAACGGGTTAAAAATTCTGTCACATTTTAATTGTGCATCATCCCTTATCAACCCTTTACAATGCTTCCATTGAACTCTACTTACTGTCGATTAATGCTCTTGGTACACTCACACCGTGTACCAAATTTGGTTTTTCTAAGTTCAAGTATGACTTGACTTTTTTCGAAATTTGAAACCTCACTTTCAAGGCCTATAACTTTTCAGGGGTGCAACTTAGTAAAAAGGTAAGTTGCGTTATATCACCATATTTTGGGTTCCCCTACATGCCCCTGCTGGGTTCTTATGCGAAACACCCTGTATAGAAGTTGCTCTTCTGAACATACAGGATGTTCTCGAATTTAAGTCAATATCTTCTAATGATATCTACTACTACTTTTTAGAATTACATATTATCCAAAAAAAATTCTTTTATTCTTGGAAAGGCAGCAATATCCTTTTTATCCTCTTTTTAAGAAGTATGTTCATGTAAATTTTGATCTTATTTTTATATGTTTAATCATATTTCAGTATTTTCAAAACCGTTTCTACCGTTTTATTCAAAATATATTCTTCTTTGCAGGAAATCTTCTTCGGAAACCAAGCATTTACAAAAGAAATTCCTTTCAAACTTTCCAAGAATTCTTGCAAAACTCAGAGGCGCGTCATCAGCAACGGTCAAAAAGCGACGAATTTCTTAGAAGAAAACTGAGGTCCAGCGAGGAAAGCGTAAAACGTGCCGAACTAGATGGCTATATAAACTTCATTAAACCCAACATTCCACATCACAAATCCCAAGATAAACCGAACAGAAACAAAAAACTGCTCACCACTGCGGAGACTGTTTTAGTAGACAATAATCCCTCCAGTATAACGGTAAACGATTATAAACCCAAAAAGTACCGAACAAGAACAAGCAGCGCCGGAACATTAATAATCAGCGAGGAAAGTTTTAACGACGCACATCATCGACGTCGGCGTCGCAATGTTGCCGATGCCGATCAGGCCCTAATGGAAAGAAAAAGCGTTGACGTTCAGAGCAGCGCAAGAAAATCTGGTGCCGGCGTAGATACGGAGGGTCTTAGGGATGGGGTTCAATTAATAAACGGTTCTGCCAGTTCGATCTCTGGAAAATATGCATTTAATCCACGTCCAACCGTTAGAGAAACTCCTACAGTAGGAAATCTTAGGTATGTTATTAAATAGGTGTATATATTACAATAATTCTTAAGTATCATGTCCTTGCTCTAACATCACATTTATTACTCTTTTTATTTGATTGGGGATTTCTGCTACATTGAAAAGAAACAATTTTAAAGAAGTCAACCTTTGTGCGAACAAGTATCAGTCAAGCTTTATAAATATAAACTTTATAAATTTAGATTTACCTAACTAGAAATCGACTTTCGGGTCCAGAGGTCAGACAATGTTTATTATACGTTTTTTGGGTCGCTGAATCCGAATCCAATTTAACCCCATCATCTCAGGATTTTTCATAATGTCAAAAAAAAAAATTAAATTCTGAACAATTAAACCATGTAACCTTAAGACTCGAGCTTCCAACGATAAATCCAATTAACCAAATCCCATAAACATTTAACCCAATGATATATTAACCTAATATGCCATTAACCCAAACCCCAATAACCTCATAATCCCATAACCAAGGGAATAAATCATAGGCAATTTGTATTATTGCAAAACATCACATAGCAGAGGACTCTTTCAAAAACCACAAATACTCATACTCAAAAACTTCCCATAGCTATAACCCCATAGCTCGTAACTTCATATCCCCATAACCACATAACTAATAAACCTATGCATTCAAACCCCAAAACCCCCTTGCCCCTACAATTCATAACCCCACGATTCCCTAACCACAACTTCATTACCTTGTACTTTGATCTCATTCACCATTGTGTTACAGTCGATCTAGATTTTTTTCTATAACTTTAATTGGTAAGACTGTCGGCATTAGCAATACCACGAGGTGGTTACGCAATCGGATTTCTTACGTCATATAGCTCTCATAAAAGCTTTTGAAAAAAAATATAATTTGTAGGATAGACCGTACTATAAATTAATCAATAAAACTGAGGTTATGGTGTTATAGGATTATGGGAGTTTTTGGGTTTGAGTACTTGGGTTTTCATGGAATCCTCAGCTATGTGATGTTTTACAATAATTCAGATTGCCTATGATTTATCCCATTGGTTATGGGGTTATGGGTTTATGGGGTTATAGGGATATTGGGGTATGGGTTCATGGACTTTCATTCGGTTAAATGTTTATGGGATTTGGTTAATTGGATTTAGCGTTGGAAGCTTGAGTCTTAAGGTTAGGTATATGATTTTTTGGGGTCACGAAAAATCCTGAGGTGATGGGATTAAATGGTCTGACATGTGAGCCCGAAAGGCGTTTTTTTTTCTGTGGCTGTGTAATTCTTTAGATTACAGATTTAGATTAGATCAGTGCAACACATTACACAGTTAACGTTTCGAGAAACTCTGAGTTATCATTACCACAACTTTTATTATGAAATTGAATTTGTTTATCTACCTTTCATTCAATTATCGCAAGTTTGTTTGAATGTAGGAGATGTTTATTTTAACTAGAAATAAGCCTATGAACTCTAGAAAAGTTTATTAAAAATTGTTCAAATGCACTTCTTAAAACATATCTACTATATGGAAACATATTCGTGCAAATGTATCATATTATATGGCTTACTTTTTCGATAGAACAGTGCACTATCATACAGTAATTTTAAGTAAATGTTATCCATAGGCAGCACGTTCTTGAAAGTCTCTCGTGTATACAATGACTTTCTTTTTGTGTTTTCTAATTTATTTTCACGTTCATATTAATTCATTCATTCATCTTGCTGCTTAAAATATGTTTCAAATATTCTGAATGTCTCTATGCATTTTCAACTTAAATTTAAATTCTCTGTTACATAATTCTAATAGACGGGATATTTCTTAGATTCTTATTCTTTGGATAATCTTACAGAATTAAGTACCTAAATAATTGTATGGATTTTTAGTTGACACCAATACACTTAAATTATTATCATATAATAGAAGAAATATGATACATTTTTTAAATTTCAACACCTTGTATCTTGAAAGACAATGACATTTAACTCCCGGTTTGTTAAGAGTATTTAGCCTAAAGTAATCCAAGGAATACGTCACTAAAGTTATCGTATAAACTTAAAAAACACCCTGTGTACTGGGATAGACTTCATATAAATATCATAAAATGTTTTAGCCCTGGAACTCAAGCAACTACTGCCGTTCTTGACCGGCGGCGACATGATTTTAATAATAGTGTCCAGAAATATAACGCTTTACAAGGAATTTCTAATGGCAATAGTGCACGTAACACGCAATATGTCCGACATGACAGTGATCCAATTAATTCTATCTCCAGAAGACATGCATTTAATAGAAATGTTGATATTGCCCACAGCCTCAGGTAATAATCGACAATTTTTAAGTTGTTTTATATATTGTTATTAGAGTTTCTTTTTATAGATCATATTTTTCTTTTAGCTCTGGAACTATAACAAATAGTGACAACTGTTACTCTAATTCAAATATAAATGGGAAAACTATTAACAGAACTTCCTCCAAAGGAAAAACTGATCTTACAAATAGTTTTTTGAAAAATCCTGACACTAGTAGAAAGACCTTAGGATTTACGAAATATGTACGACCAATCAGTGATCCTACAAGTTGGATATCAGGGAAATATGCATTTAATCCACGGCAGCAGATTTCAGAAATTAATAACCGGCAGAAGCTTAGGTATGAGAACATATATAATTTAGTATGTAGTTTTTATTGAAAGAACTGATATAAAAGACGATGAAGGGTGTCTTCATTACTGAAGACACTATTGTGATAAAATATGTCATAAATAATTATATGTTTATTGTCACATTCTACTGCTACTGCTACTGCCTTCATTACTGAAGACACTATTGTGATAAAATATGTCATAAATAATTATATGTTTATTGTCACATTACAAAGAATAATCCATTACCTCTGTAGTGCACTCCTCTAGTCATATCGTCCTTCTTAAGGATAAATCTATCCACGGAAATCGAAATAATGTTCTACCTAAATGAACAAAAATGTATACTTTGTATTTGCTGTCAGATAGAGATACATTATTTTTTATTATAGAAATATACAAACTTTAATGAATTCGAAGATATACAATATGGTCCACTAAAAACCAAGACATATTTTTTTATACATAATCGCCTTTTAGATACACTTGCTGAACTAATTACGATGATTCGGTTAGCCATCCAAGACCTGTGTGATTTTACTTATTAATTTTAATCACTGTTTTGCAATTTGACAGATTTTGATTTTTGATAATTTATTATTAATGTATTCCACTAATTATCCATAAACCTTCTTCAAGTTTGTAAATACCTACCTATTTTGTTAAGAAAAATAAATTATTATTTATTTAGAAATATATGTAGATTTCGAAAATCGATTAATGGGATTTTTATGTAGGTATATGAAATCAAACCTTTATCTACTGTAGGTATAATTTTTCGTATTACCCTAGAAACTCTCTACAGCTTTTGTGTTTTACATAATCCTTTTAAAATAAAATATAACTAAGTTAACTTGAGGTGGCTTTTATTACCAATAAGTCTGTATTTAAAAAAAAACATATCAATCGATTTACACTAACTGACGTTTTTCGTAAACGATTTTCATAATTGAAATTATTATTGAAACATTTATTATTTATTTTTGGTGCAGTGTATGTACTATTTAAGTTTAGATGCTGTTATTTCCAGGAAGAAATTAAATTTAAACGATATTTTCCGTTTCTAAATAACTCCTAGATTATTAGCTACTGTGAAGTTGTTTACATTCAAAATAGTGCAGTGTTCAAGATACCCCCGAATATATTTTTTCAAATAACTTGAAAACGATTTGAGTCAAAACTTCTTACTTGGTACACACGTTTATTTATTTTAGTAATACAGGGTAGCGAAATGAAAATGAAACAGAGCCATTTTCATGAACTGCGTCAAAATTGTAGAAAAACGCTCAGACCCGTCGATTTTAGATTAAAGGGGGACATGCCCCAAGCAAGGGTAAGCATCGCCCCAAAATATTTAAATGGCATTGGGGGTTGAGTAATATTTCTTTTGAAAGCTCTTACAATTCTCTTTACAACAGACTTTAAATTTTATAATTTTGCCTAATACTTTGAAAAAAATTTCCATTTTAAAATTTAAATTATGTTTAGTTGCTTATTTACTACTTAGTTGATTAAATGTTGAAACTGATGACCGCTCGCTTCCATACAAGAATAAAGATTTTGTTCGCGCACATTCCGAAGCATTTTCGGAGTGCTTCGACGGCATTCGTCGACGATTCTTTGATGCAAATCTTCCAGCGACGCTGGCTGTGTTTTATAGATTTTACTTTTTAGGTATCTCCACAAAAAGAAATCAAGGGGCGATAAATCCGGTGATCNATATAAATATATCAACTTGTTTAAAGAATAGTACCCAAGTTTTATTTAATTTATATTCGATACCCTCTGTACGTATTTGGGCACGCCACTGAAGTGTATTGTTTACTGCACCTCTAGCAGCTATTTTTGTTTTTCCAACTCACTCTATTATCTATTTGTTGCTATTGACTACAAATGAATGTTATTTAGTGCTTAGGGCCTCTCTATGTTTACTTATTCCTCTGAGATATTTACCGAGGTCACAGGCGCACATCTAAAATACTCGAAGTTTTTAATAGATACTATTTTTACTTATGACGAAGCATCAACACCACATTTTAGTAATCTCTCTATCCGTGTATTGTACAATAACATGTACAGGGTGATTCACTATATTTTGAGCCCTCCCCATTAACTTTTTTGTTTTTAGAGTTCTAAAAAATTGTGAAATACAAAAGTTGCACGATTTTTTATAAATTTTTCGAAAATAATAGTAGAAAAACAAATGAAGTCCAAACAAAGTGGCCGCGGATGTTAACTTTGTTAATTTAAATGGAACACTGTATATTTTTACATATTTGGAGAGAACGTTCTCTGTCGAATATGGTCATATAGGGATTGTTGGGTCCATCTCTAACAATAAGCGAGATATTATTAAAAAAAGAAAAGAAGGTTTTCTTTATTAAGAAAATAAGAAATTTTGTAATTGTTAAAACTCTTTCAGGCATTTCTGCCTTTTTTCCTATTACTAAGGATTTACAGATTTAGTTGTAATGTATTTTGACAAATCGCACATTAATATGGTCCAAAATACGTACAGGTATTCTAACTAAATCGCACTAATTAGGCCATGAGAGGTCTAATTACTCACGGACAATGTTATATGGTAGGCCGTGATAGTGACAGGTAATGTCATGATAACATTGTTATTGATTCACAGTTTGTAATATTATTTAATTAAAATGGGTTATACAGTACTAGAAAATTGAAATATAGGAATTAAAATAGAGTAAAGATCTTCTCCATATTTCTTAATAAAAAACATTCTTTTCTTTTTTTAATAGTATCTCGCTTATTGTTGAGATGGACCCAACAAACCCTATATGACTATGCTCGACAGGGAATGATCTATCCAAATATGTAAAAATACACAGGGTGTTCCATTTAAATTAACATACTTAACATCCGCGGCCATTTTATTTGGACTTCATTTGTTTCTCAAATATCATTTTCGAAAAATTCATAAAAGATCGTGCAAATTTTGTATTTTACATTTTTTTATAACTCTTAAAACAAAAAAGTTAAAGGGAGGGTAAAAATATAGTGAATCACCCTGTACATATCTGCCTCTCATCTGAAACTTCGCATCAATAAATTTATTCGATACACATCTAGCGGCACTCTAATGCTTGCCCTATCGGGCAACAATCTAAGTTTTTTGCTGAGGGACGTTGGCCTTACATTTCATTGTCGCCTGTGCATATGTGAGTTTGACGCTTTGCTTGGCACGTGTTTTTGTGGCAATCAGTAGAATTGTGTACGGTGAACATAGAGCGGCACACGGCTTAACCACAGATTTAGCCTACCCTCTACGACGCGTATTACCGCTTACTAGCATAACATAGATTACACTATTTATTTATTTGATTGTCGCCACAAAGTCGATGTCTAGTTATTATCGAACTTCGAAAAGGCATTGTTTGTCCTCGTCTTACATTTGCATATGTGTAAACTTTTTTCTTTAGGCAGGGCACATTTAAAATATCAACTACATTAGTTCGATGTAGGATTTTCGTGCATGCATTTTTTCGTAGCGGTAAAAATACGGTTACTTTGTTCATATCAAACACTGAAGTGTTTCTGTCATTGTTAAATATGATTCAGTAAAATTATAACTTAGTTTTTATACATTTGTATAACACGGTATAACCTTCTAATAAGTGTGTTTATTTAGTTTGTGATACCTGTGATATTTGTTAGTCGATCAGTGAAAGTTCATCAAGGTTTTAAACGATACAATATTACTATACAGGGTCGGAAAGTCCCCATGGTTCATCGGCCGTTACGTGAGAGTGATAAAGAAAGTCATAGAAATCCGTGCGATAGAGAAAGATGGCTATAATGAAGGCGTCTAATAATCACCGCTCAATTCGTCCTTCCACAAATAAGATCCACTTCTTATTTGTAGATGGGCGAAATGGGCGATGACTAATAGACGCCTTCATTATAGCCATCTTTTTCTATCGCACGGATTTCTATGACTTTCTTTATTGCTCTCACGTAACGGCCGATGAACCATGGGGACTTTCCGACCCTGTATAAAAGTTATAACGTTATTGTGATTGTGTTTTGTTACCGAGTGTTGCTTTCACCAACAACACTTTCAGTGTTGCTACCAAGCTTTCAACCGCGAAAACATACACTTCCCTGGATTCAGATATACCTTCCAATTATTCAAAATCAAGTGTTGATAGAATTTTGAAAGAAGAAAAAATATATGGAGAAGTACCGAACCAAAGCTAACATAGGAAAAATAGAAGTGGATGAAGGGAGAAATATGTGATCCGATGGACAGGTAATTGATTTTTCTTTAAAAATGAACTGCCAACCTTGGGAAAAGTAACTCAAGCTATTGCTGAAAACCAAATCATTCCTAAAATGGACAAGGATACATTGAGATACACTTTACACAAAAAATAGTAGATAACTTAAAAACTAGAAGAGATAGGTATCGGGAACCCTGATACTGTTCGAAAGAGAATAAAATTGTGTATCAGAATATAAAAAATCATGCAGGCTGTTCCATTTAAAAAACCGACTTATGAAGGTTTGAAGTTAACTAAACTCGGCATTAAATTTCTAGCACCCTGTACGCAATTAAGCCACTTTGAAAGTATGGATGGAAAGCTTAGGGGTCTAGCTATCCCCCCTATATTGTTGCTTTGTCTTTCTTACTATAAAATACACATGGTTTGAAGCTAGTCACTATTTCTCTCCATTTTTTTGAAAAAAATTAAATATCTCGTAAACGGTGAATTTTAGGAATTACAAAACTTCATAAAACCTACCTAAAATAACACGTAGAATTAAAATAAGCATGTTGATGGTGACATTGAGAAGGGCATGCCCGAAAACCCACTATTCCAAATTTTTAAAGTTCAAATCTGAAATAATTCTAATGGGCCGCCACCGTGAGACACCCTGTATGTATAATTGAATTTAAGAGCAACGTTAAAGAGAAACCTCTAAAAATTTCCTTATACTTCATAAATTAACAGTCGTTCCCCATGTTTTCAAAAATTTCCAATCTTTTACTTGGTGATTTACGTGTTTCCCACAAAAATATCTATACCATATAACAGGTCCAATTTAAAACAATTAAGAGCTTTAATTTAATTCAACGCTACTCTAAATTACTGTCATTATTGTGAATAATCAACAATAACTATTCTTTTCCAGGGAAACCGATAAGACGACGGGGAAACAGATAAATCCGAGCGCGAGTTTGTTTTATTCTCTCAGTGATGTGTTTCCATTTCGCGAAATAGTGGACGATAAAATCGATGCGAACTTGAACGATAACTGTAATTACGTCGTGCTGGAACCAATAACTCCCAGTACTCCTAGTGAAAGTCGTAAAAATAGCGAACCGATTATTGAAAAATTAGACCGGAAGGAGTGTAGGAAAGTTTGCGGCCGAGACAGCGATGGATCGCCGTCTTCCAATGCAATCGAAAAAGGAAGCCGAACAAAAGGTAAGGAAAGTTATTGCGGTTGTTCTGTTGCTCTGTTTGCTTCTTTCTAGATTCCGCTTGCGTCGTCTAGGGGATTATAGGCTCAAGTGAGATTTACACGTTTTTTGAACATAGAAGATACAATTACTTTCCATGTCATCGCCTTTTTATAAAAGAAGAAAAATAGTGTAATTATTTTACTAAATTGCATTTCAAGCAATTTTAAGAACAGAGAATATGAAATTAATTTCAAAGTCATGTCTTTTCTAATAGAAACATTTCACTGAATTGCGTTTCATAATAGCCTTAAGAAAATTTGAATTTAATTTAATATATGTACAGGGTGTCTGGTAAGTATATCTCACACTCTCGGGAGTGTATAGGGGAGGTCAAAATAGCACTAGCTTGTCACAAATAAAATTCCTAAAGTACTCCTTAACGGAGATACAGAGCCTCAAAGGGGTGCCCAGTGATTTACCTTTTCTGCTCTAACTTTTGAATCGACGCACGACGTATAATTTAATGACATTTTAATGATTTATGTAGGTCAGAAAGGCTCATAAAACCTTACTACAGTAAATATTTTACACTGTCAGGGAAGTCAGAAACTAACTTACCACCACACTTGTTGGTTGTTGGTCGTTGGGCCAAGATATAAGATAACAAATGAAAATCGCGTAACAACATTTCAGTTTTTTCTTATTATTTTGACGTGTAGAATTCATTCCTGGAGTTGGTGGGATTCTCCCTCCTCACCCTGTATAAGATAGGTTTTGATAGAAAAATGTAATTTTTATGTTACAGACAAAACACAATACATTTGTAATGGAAACGTTGATTTAGTTTGATGAAGTACCGAAGGTGCGAAATTCTTGTTTTGGAACTTACTGTATAATTATAATTCATAATGAACAGCTTTTAAATGTAATGCTACATCAGCGAAGGATGAAACGTTATTTTTAAACAATTGTTCTACAAACGTTACTCGCATTTTGAAAATCGTGCAAATAAATTATCATCATTTATAACGAATATTAAAGTACTTATTTTCAAATTACAGAACATTTTTCACGGAAAAGTAAAGCACGGATGATCAAAGGATCAAACAAATGATTACGACGTTGATGAATTTCGGGACTGTTATCCCCTGGATAAATCTGCGGCTTGTAAATTTTACCTAATTAACTGAGGAATGATTGAAATATTTGCTTAGTAAAAATGACAAAGCGCATGATATATATTCCGAGTGTCTACAACTCATTATTTGTTGCTTTTTAAACTGAAATTACGATTTGACATGTTCAGAAAATATGCATTTGTTAACAGAGTTTTGAAATCAAAGGGGTATAGCCGTTTTTATCATCTCGCATAATGGTATTTTTTATTTCTTGCTCTTCCAAAAATACTGCATGTATTGTCTTGAAATCAGGAAATTAATTAAGGATTATTTATTGTTTAGAAAGAGTTTGGTCATTTCCCATTTGCTTTTAATATAATTTAATTGGTTTTAATTTGTTTAAAATATATTAAATTACATTAAAGGTGTTAAACTACTTCAAATAAATTTAAAAAATCTTTATTGATTCTTCTAGATATGCAAAAGATATCTAAATTCATTTGCAAGATTCTTAACTGCTAATATTGTGGGAAACAACTGCTATACTTTATTAGTGTTTTAGATAATTATTAATTATTAGGTGTTCACTAATATTGTTGGTAATTCAATGCTTAGGGTATGTATTACACAGAGCAGCTGTTCTCCTCAAACAGTTAGTNAAAATCGACGGGTCTGAGCGTTTTTCTACAATCTTGACGCAGTTCCTGAAAATGGATCTGTTTCATTTTCATTTGGCCACCCTGTATATTACTAAAATAAGTAAGAAAACGACATACAGGGTGTTATTTTTTGTTATCCTCACTCTCCTGATCACTGCATAATATTTTTAATAAGCAAGGCTTTGCACGGTTATCTAGTTTACATTATAAAAAGTAATTACGTTTTCTTTTGAAAAATTTTGATATCTACTAAGGATTTGGAGTAATTCAGATAAATATTCAGTGTTTACTAACCTGAAATACAGGGCGTTCAAGAATTTTGTTTTTACATTTCGAGGAATGGATTCTATGCTTAAAAATAAGAAAGATTATATGAACAGTTCCTAAACTATAAAAATTGACTCAAATATGGGTTTTATTTTGTATCCTAGAACCATCGTAGTAGCCTTGGAAAGCATTATAAGAAGTATGTAAACACTTTCTTCTTATATATTTTTATGAATTGAAATATAAATGGGGAAACGAAATTCTTGAACACCCTGTGTTTCAGCACAATCGGCACAAAAGATTCATTTTCGTTTTTCTCGAATTCAAAATTTTGAACAAAAAAAACACTAAATAATGCAAACTAGACAACCCTAACTGTACGTATAAAACATTTACAAGGCATGGGACGTCATCCCAGAAAATAGCACCCTGTGTGTCATTTACGCTATGTTAAAAAGATACAGGGTGTTAAACTTAAAAAAATATTTTTAAATAATTTAAAACTAATAAGTGAAATAATTTGAAATTGGGCACATGTATTTATATAAACATTGTCCAAAATCTGAGGTCTTTTCCAAAAATTTAGATGCTCCAGTGGCGGAGATACAGGGTATCGGTGGCATATGCATATTTTTCTAAATAAAATCGCACGCCACTGCTTTACAGTAACAGTCATGATATTTTCGGATTCATCTTACAATTTTCTACAAATTTTGCTACTTAACAAACGAACTGAAAACACACTCTGATATTGGAATAAAATTCGGTTTAAAATTACGTTGTAGGCTACGATATAAACTTTAACATTCTGAGCAGTTAGAAGAAAGAATAAATAATGCTTTTCATCAGATTCAAGCAACAATAAATTTCGAACAAATTACGTTCGTGGAAATGAAGATACTTTTGAGCATTTTCTCAAATAAAATCATGAAAATGATGACTAATATTATTAATTTCTTTATTTGATTAAATAATAACCGAATGATTAGTGTTTGCCATGTTATTTAAGTAAAAGTGTTTTCAGTTTGTTTTTTAAGTTTTACTCGAAAATCGGGCTTTTTTCCAAAAACATAAGAGATTAGTAATTTGTAGAAAATTGAAAGACGAATCCGAAAATACTATTATTGTTACAGTAACTTTATAGAAAAGACTCCCCTTAAAATTCACCAAAAAATACGAGGTTTCATTTTTGATTACCGTTTGTGAATCACCTTGTATAATATACACCAGTATAATATACTAAAAAAATTATTTAATACCCTCTCTATGGAAAACTGTTTATGTAATAAGCCTTACTAATTGTTTTATCTGCCCCCGAAGTTATCAAGTTAAAAACTGTTACAGTTTACACCATCTATTATAGGGATACTGTAATTATTTATTAATAATAATTAATAAAAGTTTATTGTTTTGTGACATAGATACTTTTTATGATTACAGAAATGGTTTAGATAACTCAACACCTGCTGGTGTAAATGCTACCGATACCGTAAAGCATGTCAGGCAGATAAGCGACCCCACGAGTTCAATATCACGAAGATATTTATCTAATGGAAATTGGAGTGTTACGAAAACCAGCAACGGAGTCACGCTAAGGTACAGTGTTTCGGTATATTTTATAGGTTCTTAGTTTGATTTATGATTATAAGCTTATAATAGTACTACCATTTGGGAATGTTACATGTTCAAAGTTGCAAAATATAATGGAATTTTGTACCTGTATCATACAGGGTGTTCCGATGCACATCTAATTCGGACAATAAATACTAATAAATATTTATTTCACATGCTGACTGAGATACTTACGATCTGCTAAATTAAAAAAAATGTTACTGATCTATACCTCAATTTTAAAAATTGACTGGTCAGTTCAGAGTCATTGTACTACATGCCATTTATTTGATCTAAGTCAGGAGTGGTTTGATTTGAAAAATTACATAATTTTTAAGTTAATACTGTATTAAGCTCTTTTCCCTCTGTTATTTGGTCCATGTACGGGTTACTCTCCTATCTCAAATATTATATACTTTGTTTTTTCAATTTAAACCCATTTATGACTTTTGTTTGAGATAAAACTTCTGTAATTTTAGTAATGGTTTTAACAACTCAACAAATGTTGATGTGCGTACTACAAGTTACCTAAGATATATTAGCAACCCTAGAAGCTTGACACCACGAAGTTATGTACCTAATCGACATTCAGTTATTCCAGAAGTCGGCAATAGAAATTCTCTAAGGTAGGTACTTTATAGTAGTTCTTTAGTATGAGTATTGAATAAATATTTCTATTAATAAAAAAATGATAGTTTAATAGAAATTCAAAATTTATTTACGAATATAATTTTTAGGTGACACAAAGTCGCATTTATAAAATAGCTGTCAATGGAAATGACAATTAAATTAACTTATTTAAGATCTCTTGTCTAGAACTTATTAAAGTGCATTTTTCCATAAAGTAGGATATACTTGATAGTTTCGTATGTTCACCCCGTTTTTTCACAATTCCGTAGGCCTCTATATGCATATTTTTATACTCTATCTTTATTATAAACAAACCTGTCATGTATCCATGAAGTTAATGAAAATGTGGCGTTTGTTAAATTATTCGCATGTTTATTATCACGGAAATTCGTATTTTTAGAAACATAAAACTACATGTTTTCTTCGTGGCATGTTAGATTTAATCTAATACTTAGATTAATAAATTTGTTAAAATTATATAAAATAAATGTCCATTTGATTTGCTTCTAATGCTGCTGGTAGAGGGCGCCACCTATAAGAGTACGCTTGAATTAAATTGGACCTAACTTTTTTGCTGCCGTATATATTGACGTTTCGGATTAGGGCATTTTTTTTAAGTAAGAAAGGTATACTTGGTCGAAATCTCTCAGACCAACAGTTTCCGAGATATTGGCTGATGAAGAGTTAAACGCACACCATATTTTCAAATTTTATTAACAATTTACGTTGAAAATTTTTAAAATTTATTTTGGACTCACGTTTATAGGAAAAAAAAGTCTTATTTTGACCTCAAAAATACGCCCCTAAATTCTTTTTACTGAACTTTGAATCAGTCTACACAGGGTCGGAAAGTCCCCATGGTTCATCGGCCGTTACGTGAGAGCGATAAAAAAAGTCATAGAAATCCGTGCGATAGAGAAAGATGGCTATAATGAAGGCGTCTAATAGTCACCGCCCATTTCGCCCTTCCACAAATAAGATCCACTTAA